TTCTTCAAGGGAGAAATTGATGGATTTAGAAGGGTTAGAGGAATTTTAACTCAAGGTATGTAAGAATTGTTTTACATAAGCTCTTTCTTGGATATATGTAAGAATTCCCTTTGAATTGAGAAGACTAGGGTTTGGATTGAAGTTTTGTGTATGATGTTCACTTAATTGAAAAATTGTACTTATTAATTGTTGGGTTGATGGTTGATTTGAGCTAAGTGGGGGAGATTATACTTTAATCTTTGGTTTTCCAAGTTAAATTTTCATGGTAGCATATGTGTATTATTCTTGTATTAGTGGTAGTCATCAACATGGAAGAAGTGGGTTGTAGGTGATTATGATTGTAAATTTAAGGGATCAAGGATCTAAACAAGATGTGAATGATCTTTATGCAAGCTTGAACCATATTTTTGTATTAAGATTGCTTAATTTTGAGCCTTGCAAGTACTCTCAAACTTTGGGGTTTTGTTGAAAAATTCGGACTGCATTGCTGGAATCGCCGCACGTGCGGGGATCACTGCCGCACGTGCGGGAAGCCTTGCCTCACGTGCGGGGCTCACAGCCACACGTGCGGGGCATGTTGCAAATTTTTGTCTGCTCCGTTTTACGTGCTTAACCCTTCGGTATTTTTGAAATCTGTATTTGGTGCTCTTAAGATACCTGTAAATTCGTTCGAAGTGAAATGAAGAAGGAAATGAATTAAAAAAGGAAAGAGAACTAATGTATAAGTGGTGCACGTGCGTAGGTCATAACCCGGGAGGAACAAGCACTCCGCTTCAGCACTGTGAGTAATAGTACTATGGATGTACATTATTTACTGTTAAAATTATTATTATTAACATTTTGTTCTCCGTGAGCAATTATGTCGACATGTATGTAGATTGGAAATTGATGTGAGTTCATGTAAGCATTGCAATATTTGCCATACATTGATATGACTCTAAAATGATTCTACATTCCGACTACAGTCAATGCTTACCGGTAATGAGCTATAACTTATAAATCATCTGTGAATCCGCATAAGAATTGCATACAATCTAAAGATGTCGTGGATAAACTCCACTTACCGGGATTATGATATTTGGAATGGAAATTGATACCTTGAATATCCTATCAGGGACCCCTACTATCTGTTTAGTTCAGTATATGAATTATCGAAAGGAATGATCAGATCAAACTACAAGTTGCTTTATACGATAATGACCATTGTGACCAAAATAGCGGGTTGACTTAAGGATGTCTTAACTTGATGGAAGACGTGAATGTTAATAACGTTGTTATGTGATTCACGCTGTGATGCGAATTATTCTGTCCCTACAGATAGAATTGTAATGGCACATGTGCAATATGTGGGATACGCTATACTTATTGCTAATGATTATCTTTAGTATTCTGTTAAATGTAAATTGATTACGTTAACTCATGAAAATGATTGGGTGAATTTGTGTGCCTCTGTATAACTTTGATGCTAGTCTGTTTTGATGATAACTGTGGTTATTCTGTTTTGTGGTTGTTCCGTCTATGCCATGACACGATGAGACCTATTGATTTCTGGTATGGAACAAAGTGCTGCATGGAACTAAGCGCTACACTTTTGTGGGAGCCACCTCTAGAATCCGTACGAGCCACATCTTGAATCCATACATATATGAACTGGGCTTAAAGCCGTTCTGTTATATCCCGGCCGATGGCTGTTCTATTATTTCTAGGCCGATGGCCGTTCTGTTATTTCTGGGCCGATGGCCGTTCTGTTATTTCTGGGCCGATGGCCGTTCGGTATTTATTAGGCTTAAGGCTGTTCTGTATATTACTGGGCTGAAAGCCCCTCTGTTAAGGAAATTGGGCCCATGGCCGTTCTGGAAATGATTACAGAATGTAATTGATCACATGCCTTTACAGTTACATGCTTTGTTATTTATATTGTTTAAGCTAACCATTACATTATTTATGTGCTATTATTTATTGAGTTTTACTCACTCTGTATTTTATCTGTTTCTGTAAGTAATCAACCGGGTGGCCAACCCTAACCCTTGAGGCTTGTCTCTCTTTTGTCAACCTTCGTGTGTTAACCGCCGTGTGTCCAGGCACTTAAGATAAAACCCGTGCGTCTTGTAAAGTTTTGCCAGGTTTTGGCTCATACTTTGATTGTCTACCTATGGTTGAATGTATTTAATCCCTTCTTCTTTAAAACTTTTATATGATTGTAAGTCACTATAACAGAAGCTCGGGTGTATGTCTCCTGTGTATTACCTATTTAACACTATGTTTGCGGTCCTAGCATGGTAGTAGTAGCTCAATGGATGATGTTTTATGTTTTTTTATATTATTAATGCTTCCGTTCAGGCCCCGTACATTACGTATATCAGGTTAAGTGTCTGTTTCTGAATAAGTCATGCCCGAAACTTTTAGGGGCGGGTTTGGGGCGTGACATAAAGCCTACAAAGCATCAAATGTATCCGATTTTTCTTTTAAAAAATTTACCTATGAAAAACGAGTAAAATCATCAATAGTTAAAAAAATGTATCTTTTACCTCCAATGCTTTCAGTGCGAGTAGGTCCCATTAGATCCATATGAACTAATTCAAGAGAAAATGTATCTATCACTTACATTTCTAACATTTGATCTAAGATTTTTAAGCTTTTTATCATGGTTAAAAACTATGATGAAAAAATTACATAGACAATCACACCTTCATCCATCACAGTTTTTGTGTTGAAAAAAAACTGAGATTGTAAATTTAAGATCATAGTTAAAAATTGTGACATATAACCAATTTTACATATTAGATAAAGGTCACACTAAAAAGAGAAAATATTAAAAACATCTCAATGTTTGGAAAAGTGTGATAAAAAAAATTAAAAAATAATTTTTAATCTCAATTTTTTAAATTAGCTGAGGCAATTAGTCTTTTATGATGTTATTTATTTATTTATTAATTTTCAATCTCAGTAAACTGATATGAATAGTGTTTGTTTTAAATTTTTTCTATCTCAAAGTTGGTTTTTATTTTATTTTATTTTTTTGATTAAAGTCAATTTTGAGACAGAGGAGTCGGGGCTCTCATTTCTTCCTCCTCACAGTCGGCCTCTCAGACTCTCCTCTACTTGCGATTTCGATTTTGAAGCTCCCCTGCCGCCACCATCTTCACCGCCATGGCTATCGTTTCAGATACCAAGGAGGAACAGAGTGGTGGAATTCGGGAACACGCAAACTAGTGGCTTGTTGATCCTAACTCACACCATCATCTATTTTGGACTCATCACAATCTTTCTCATTGCCATCGGCGTTCACATCTACGCTGGCTAGATTTTGATTTTCACATCCACTCTTTCTTTTCTTTTCTTTTTTTCCCTCGAATATTATTAATTTGCTTTGATTTGTTTAGGTTTTTTGCTTGTTTTATTTGTTTGTCAAGTTTTTGTAATTGTATCATGTTTTTTTTGATATGAATTACTAGTACCAAATGTGTGTAAGAATGATTTTTCTTATCTAATGTTATCAATAATCAGTTTAATTTTGATTTTGATAATCACATCAGAATTCAAGCGGAGGAATATGCCATTGGTTGGTTACTATTGAGTGCAGTAATCAAGCTTAAACCTCATTGCAACTTTGATGGTTTCAAGATTAAATGTCGTAACAGAGGATGGAAGGACATACAACTTAGAAAATGAGGAGGCCGAAATGCATTTATCACTTTTAACTCCAAAGAAGCAATGAAGCAATCACTGAACAGTTTTGGAGGTTGGTTATCGGAGTGGTGTGAATCAATCTTTGAGTGGAACAAAGGTGTGAAGTTAGAAAATGAAAGACTGGTTTGGTTAAGTTGTTTTGGAATGCCTTCCAATCTATGGAATGTCAATAACTTCAGGAAAATTGGTGAAGCGTGTGGTGTAGTCGTGGAGCTTAATGATAATGTATCAAGTATGAATTCTCTGAAGTATGGGAAAGTCAGAATATGTACATCCCATCTGGAACATATTGATAAATTGGTTATTCTGGAAAAAGATGGTACATCCTACCCTGTTCGTGTAGTTGAAGCAAGGGATTTGTTAACAACATCCATGGATGAGGGTGACCATTGCTCTACAACTCATCATGCAAGCAGGAGTGAAGGTGATGACGTGGGTAACATTGGGGCTGACGTGGAGAGAAGCCTCTACATGGCACACAATAAGAAGTCTAAGGAGGCGGTGGTAGGAGCAGGACACAAGCGCACGTATACTTCAGACTCTGTATCGATGGTTAACGAGACAGGCGTGGAGATAGGAATTCACAACCATGATGTTGTCCACCCAGCACCCAATGTCAGTTTGCAGGCACCGTTAGAAAAGGAGGTTGACAGGGGTGAAAGACGAGGAGGTGGGATGCTGGAGACACCTACTGGGCCTCATGGGCTTATAAGAAGTTTAAGTCCAGGAGATCTCAATAGGCCTGATATATCTTTGGAAGTTGTATTGACTAAAGCCCAATTTGATAGGAATCGTCTGAGGCCTAATAAGGCAAAGATCAATTCTGTTAAGGAGGCTAACCCAATAAAAGAAGGTGAGGCTTCTGATAACATCGATGATGAATCCAGCCCAAGTGATGAAGAAGAAGAAGTACATCAACCTGGTGCTTCTATTTGGGATAGTAAAGCAGAGGCCCAGCTTAATGAAAATAGGGTGTTTGGAAAATTCTGGAAAGGAAAGGGACAAAAAGGAATACCATTTAGGAGTGGGTTCCAACGAGGTGCCCTTGTTCGAGCAGCTGCAATGGCATCTTCATCATCTTTATCGATCACCAATGCCTTACGAAAGAAAAATAGAATCAAACAGGAAGCAGAAGCTACGGTGCAGTTGGGAAAGACTTTTGGTCTGGAAATGAATAGGAATGAAGCAGAAGTTGTGGAGCGAGCAATCCAGATGGAAATTGAAGATATGGAGAGAAGGAAAGCAAAAGGGGTGGCGCCAAGTACTTAATCAGCACTTAGTATGAGGCTTTAGTGTATATTTATATCTCTATGAAGATTTTGTCCTGGAACGTTAGAGGTTTGGGAAGGGTTGACAGAAGGCGAAGAGTAAAGGAATTTCTGAGGCTGAAAAATGCGGATATGGTTCTGCTGCAAGAAACAAAAAGATCAAACATTGATGGTAGTGTTGTAAGATCTCTGTGGCCTAGTGATTCGGTGGAATATATGGAAGTGGATACGGAGGGAAGTGCAGGAGGAATTCTGTGCATCTGGAATCCCATGACTTTCTCACTTCAGGAGTGTTGCTGCTCAAGAAATTTCATCCTTTTGGCAGGTATCATGCATTCTTGTATTAACTGTGTAATTGGTAACATATATGCTCCTAATGAAGATTTGAATAGGAGGAGGTTATGGGGCATCCTATCCAATTTGAAAACTGTCTTCCCTGATCCTTGGTGTTTAGGGGGAGATTTCAATGAAGTTAAAAATATTTGTGAAAGAAAAGGGTGTATTAGGAGGGATAGAGGCATGGAGGAATTTGGTACCTTCATTAGCAATCTTGAATTGGTGGATATCCCAATGTTGGGCAGGCAATATACTTGGGGCAATTCTCAAAGTTGGAGTAGGCTTGATAGGTTTTGGGTTAACCGTGAGTGGTTGGAATGGTACAGATACAAGGTATGGGGTTTACCAAGACTTTTTTTTTATCATAGCCCCATTTTGCTGATGGAAGATGATAGGAACTGGGGCCCAAAGCCTTTCAAGTTTATCAATGTTTGGGTTTTACACCCTAAGTTCCTTCTTAAAGCAAATAAAGTTTGGGATTCAACTTATGTACAAGGCTGGGCTAGTTATATAATTATGGAGAAGCTGAGGGTTTTAAAAGTAGCTCTGAAAAGTGGAACACGGAAGTGTTTGGTGATGTAGAGGCAAAGTTGAAAGAAGCTGAAAATGAGTTACATTCTATGGATTTACAATCTGAATTGAGGGTGCTGACTGAGGTAGAAGAGGGTCAAAGAAAGGAGATAAGGGGTTTGATTTGGAAACTTAGCAAGAGAAAGGAATGGATGTGGGTGCAAAAATCGAGGATGGACTGGGCGTTGAAAGGAGATAGAAATACTCGATTCTTTCATATTATGGCCACTAAGAAACACAACAGAAACCTGATTGCCTCTGTTGTGGTTAATGGGGTTGAAGTGGATGAACCTTCAGAGGTCAAACAAGCAGCTTGCTCTCACTTCCAAAATCTGTTTTCTGAACATTGGAGGAGTAGGCCAAGTATTGGAGGTGTTTTTAAGAAGATTGATGCTAACCAAATAGGCAATATTCTGGAGAAAGAATTTACAGAGGAAGAAGTATGGTCTGCAATAAAAGAGTGTGACGGAAACAAAGCCCCAGGCCCAGATGGGTTTAATATGTTATTTTTTCAGAAAGGGTGGAAATTCTTGAAAGGTGACATTATGAAGTTTATGGAGGAGTTTTTCAGTAATTGTAAATTAGGGTATGGGGTAAACTGTTCTTTTGTTGCTCTTATCCCTAAAAAGGAGAATCCAACCTCTTTTCTCGATTATAGACCCATCAGTCTAATAAATTCCCCATATAAAGTGTTGTCCAAAGTCTTGGCTAATCGAATGAGAAGATGTCAATAGGCCTGCTATAGCTCTGAAAGTTGTATTGAGTAAAGCCCAATTTGAGGGGAATTGTCTGGGGCCTAATAAGGCAAAGATCAGTTCTGTTAAGGAGGCTAACCCAATAGAAGAAGGTGAGGCTTCTGATAACATCGAAGATGAATCCAGCCCAAGTGATGAAGAAGAAGAAATACATCAACCTGGTGCTTCTGTTTGGGATAGGAAAGCAGAGGCCCAGCTTAATGAAAGCAGGGGGTTTGGAAAATTCTGGAGAAAAAAGGGACAGAAAGGAATACCATTTAGGAATGAAAAATACTTATTTTTAAATTTTAACAACATATGTAAAAAAAAAAAATATTACAAAAAGTTATTTTCAACAATAGTTTTATTAAAAATTATTTTTAATAAAACTTAATAAAAATTAAATCTAACTATTAAAATTTATTAATAATTTCCCCTTAGGTTGTTTCCGTTGATTCTCAAATGGTTGCAAATAGGTTGTGGTGTTTCAAGTGTTATGCGTTGACACATGCAAGCATGCATTTATGCACTCTTTACTAGGACACTCAGACATTTCACAGCAAATAGGTTGTGGTGTTTAAACATACGATGGTGTGCTGCATATATTCTCGATTATAGACCCATCAGTCTAATAAATTCCCCATATAAAGTGTTGTCCAAAGTCTTGGCTAATCGAATGAAACAAGTCCTGCCCGCTGTGATTGATAAGGCTCAATTTGCTTTTGTAGGGGGAAGAAATATTGTAGATGGGGTGCTTATAGCCAATGAGGTGGTGGATTGGTGGAAAACATCAAAGAAGAAGGGTATTATTCTCAAACTGGACTTTCAAAAAGCATATGACACTGTTAGCTGGCTATGTTTGCTACAGATGTTAGATAAATTTGGTTTTGGTTCACGTTGGATTCGATGGATAAAGGAATGTGTAGAATCTGCTAGAATTTCCATCTTAGTAAATGGCTCTCCTACAACTGAATTTCGTCCGCAAAAAGGGTTAAGACAGGGAGATCCCCTTTCCCCTTTCTTGTTCAATGTTGTTGCTGAAGGACTGAATCTCTTGTTGAAAAGAGCTAAGGAATTGAGAATTATAAAAGGGGTGGAAGTGGGTTCTAGTGAGGTTAATGTGTCTCATCTTCAGTTCGCGGATGACACTATCATATTTTGCGAGGCTGAGTGGGCTGAAATTGTGGCTATCAAACGAATTTTAAGATGCTTTGAAATGGTCTCAGGTTTGAAGATAAATTTTCATAAAAGTATGATCTGTGGGGTGGGAGTTGATCATGGGCTAGTTGAGGAGTTTGCAGAATTACTCAATTGCCAGAGTCATAAATTACCTTTAAAGTATCTAGGGTTGCCTCTCGGAGCCAACCCATGTCGTAAGCAAACATGGCAGCCAGTAGTGGATAGGTATAAAAAGAAATTATCAGGGTGGAAGCGAAGGATGCTATCCTATGCTGGCAGGGTCACCCTCATCAAATCTGTTCTATCTTCCCTACCTGTTTATTATATGTCTCTGTTCAAGATACCTGTGTGTGTGGCTAAGGAACTAGATAGGATTCAAGCAAGGTTTTTATGGGGAGGGGACGAGCTTAAAAGGAAAATTCATTTGGTAAAATGGAAAGAGGTGCAGTTGTATAAGAAGCAAGGAGGCCTGGGTATCAGAGACATCAGATTAACAAATGACTGTTTGCTTCTTAAGTGGTGGTGGCGATATGCCTTGGAAGATGACGCTTTGTGGAAGTCTGTAATTGCTGCCAAGTATGGTGTATCGGGGGGCCAATGGTTTCCTTCAGTGCATGCCTCGGCTTCTGTTTCGTCTACATGGAGACAGGTCCTTGATGTGTCATTGTTAAATCCTCGGCTGCATAATTTTTTTCTGGATAATGTGGAGCTTCGGTTAGGTGATGGGAATAGGATTAAATTCTGGCAGGACAATTGGCTGGGAACATCAAGCCTTAAACTACAGTTTCCAAGATTGTACCAGCTGAGTTTAAACAAGGAGATAACATTGAAGATGCAAAGTGATTGCAGAGACAGTAGCAACAATTGGTATCTTAATTTTAGAAGGCCTCTATTTGGATGGGAGGAGGAAGAGGTGATCAGGCTGCAATCTCTGCTGGGAGGAGGTCCATGCTTCATGGCTAGTCAAAGGGATTCAATTAGGTGGAAGGCTGAACAGTCAGGTATATTCACAGTTGGGTCCGTGTATAGCTGGTGTAAACAAAGTGTTCAACCTACCCTAAGTTACCCAGATTTGGTATGGAACAACTTTGCACCTCCTAAGGCGAAATTCATTACTTGGCTCGCTTGGAAAGGTAGGTTGAAAACATCAGCATTTCTCAGCAGAATTGGAGTATTGAGAGGTAATAGGCCTTCATCTTGTGTGCTGTGTAAATCTGAGGAGGAAACCTCTAATCACATTTTCCTATTCTGCTCATTCGTATGGCATGTCTGGTCAACTATCATGGCCTGGTGGGGAATTCAATGGGTGTTACCAGGGTCTTTTGAAGGCTTAATGCAATGGTGGTTGGGATGGAAGATCAGGAAAAAGGAAAAGAAAGTGTGGAGGGCTGTTTTTATTTCTACTATTTGGTCCCTATGGTCGTATAGAAATGACTGTTTATTCAATAACACGCAGCCTGATGCAGATGTGTTGTGTGAGCTTATTAAAATTCGAGTGGCCATGTGGCTGAAATCTGTTAATGTGGGGTGTTGCCTCTCCATTCATGAGATTGTGTCAAACATAAAAGAGGTGAGGCACTTTATTTGAGGTTTCTGGGGCCACTCTTGGGTTATCAGGAGGTCTGAGGGGACGGAGATATGGCTGGGTCATCACAGTAGGCTGCAGGTTGGAAGTTCTTCAACTTGGGTTCTGTATCTTTGTGGCCTGCTCTGTGGGTCAGTGTGATGCTAGTTCAGGGTTGGGGTTAGATCTGGGTTGAGTTTGCTGTGTTTGGTGCTGGGTCTGCTGTGGATTGCTATGCATAGATTGTTGCTGTGAAGTTGCTGTCCAGATTTATCAGAACAGTGAACTGGTCTCAATCTGAGTGCTGCATTTTGCTCTGAATCTGTGTAGTGTGGAATGGAACTTCAAGCCCAGATGGTGACTCTCTTTCTGAGCAGGAGGGTTCCCTCTTCTGGTGTTTTACCAATAGTGTAGATTGGTGTAGTCTGCTTCTTATCTGTCTCCAGTTGCAGTCAAGAGCTATCTTATGGTTTAAGGCTGCTTCAGAATGTTAGGAAGATGCTAAGCTAGAGGTTGATTTAAGTGTAAGGATTAATCTGCATTTGCAGACTGTCTCAACTCATGCTGCTGTTGTAATCTGCCTTCAAGGTCTAGGTGTGGCTAGCCCAATGGATGGAATGTGCCTTGCTACTATTATGAGGTTGATTTTGGGTTGAGTGGATGCTTGTTTGATGTGGCTATTGGGAGTTCATTTTAGTTGGCTGATATTGATCTGTCTAGGCACAATGGACCTGATCTGATGTAGTATGGAATGCTGAAATGCTGTGGTGTCTGTCTTACTGTGTTGATCTAATCTAGTATGCTGAACTGATGCTGCAGTGGGCTACTGATAAGAGGAGTAATTTTGGTATGTTTTGGTCTGTTTTGTGCATCTGGGTTACTGATATAGGAGCAATTACTCTGGGTTTGGGTCTGTCCACTTCATTAGTTATTGTTGGTTGGTAGTGTGGGGTGTTGGGTCTGTTTTCAGGTTTGGTTAGTTTCTTGGGTGGATTCAGGTTTGGGTAGTTTCTTGTGGTTGGTTTCTCTCCAACTGGCGATGGTGTGCTAGCATATGATTAGGCGATCTTTTTGGTGCCAACCTAGTTGGGATTGATTAGATTCGCTATGATGTTTGTTGCACTCATCCTCCTCTATCTTTTATTGTTGTAATAGTTTTCTGATTCTTCAATAAATTTCCTTTTCTTTGCTGATCAAAAAAAAATAATCAGTTTAATTTACTAAATAATATTTTATTGGTGTAGTAGGTGTGTGTGGTAGGTAAGTTGGTTTGGTTTTAATTATGTAATTAAATGATGAATTTAACTTGATCTTGAATGTAAAGGCAAGGCCTGTTTGTTATTAGTGAGGGTGTGCAAAAAAAAAAAAAAAGAAAAAAAATCTCTAATTCACACTCATATCATACCAACTCAAAGTGCCTCCAATCAACTCGTGCAGTAGTCGAGCTGGTTTGGTGATAAAAATTGATAGTAAATTAATTGACTTGCAGGTAAAATTTGTTAACCTACTTATAAATTGATCCATTCTGCTTATAAAATAATTTTGTAATTATTTACACAATCTTATTTCTATTATATATATATATGTAAAATTATCTTGTAATTATTTACATAATTTTTTCCTTAACTTTAATATTATTAAATATATGACAGGTATTTTGTTTCTAAATTTGATTGTTTCCTAATTGTGAAATAAGATTTTAAATAATATCACACATTTGATTAGTTTGTTAGTCTTTGTGTTGAGGTTTATGGTAGACAATCAATTTTTTGTCTGAAATTATATAAAAAATAATAATTTAAGATTGATAATTATTGAATAATGTTAGGTATCATGAAAAAATATCATGAAATATTTTATGAAGATTTTCCATCATTTGATTAGGTGTAGTATTTTATTATATACGTAATTCAATGGTAAAAAATCTTCATAAAATTTTTGATGATATTTCTTTGATAATGCCTAACACGTCCAATTCATTTAAACCACTAATTTGAAACTGTAAAAACTTCAACTCACTTGCGAATTTTCTGAATGTGGGTAAGCAGGTTGAAAAACTACTAATTTGAAACTGTAAAAAATTCAACTTTATGTTGGTAAGCAGGTTGAAAATTTCACCATTTGCCAATGACAGATTGGTTGATTTTCCTCCCCCTAAATCAACTCAGACCAACCTTGTTGAAAAAAACTATACGCCTAATCAGTCATGAGAACATTGTAAATTTACATTAGATTTCTTTCTACACTCGTCAAATGTATTGAATTTAAGGTTTTTTTAAAAATGTACTCAACTAGAGAAGTGGTGTTGTGATTTCATTAAGGTTTCTTGTTCTTCTCATTTTATCACCAAATAAAGAGAACACTAATAAGTTCCTTCCAGTACATTTCTATTCCTTTAATCCCAACATACAAAACCCACCTGATAGAACAACAAATGCATATCCTAATCCTCAAATGCTGAAGATTTTACATAAACTAAAAGCACAAAAAACACTAACATCATATTGACATAAATAATAGAACAAGTAGAAATAGAGAATAATCTAATCTGTTTCCTCAAAGTAATATAACCAATCAAGAGAACCTTCAACAGTTTCACTGTTAGTAGAAGACGTGTCCACATGTTTTCAGTAATTCTTAGAAACACTTATATCCACAAATTCTGCAGCACTTCTGCAACAAGACCAGAACATTTCTTTAAACCACCTTCACGAGAGTTTCCACGCTGCATGATTAAAAGTTAAAAGGAGGTAGAACGATATGCCAATGGACAGAAGCAATGAATAAAAGAAGTTGAAAAACGATTTCACTTGAAAACACAAGAAAGGTGAACTCAGATCCTTCGTATATGCTAAAAAAATTCCAGGCAATATTAAATCAGGCTGTGACCATTGAGTGGCATATGCTAAAATGAATTTGCGTAACCACTTCCTGTGCCTACATTTATGAGATTGGGGTCCTAAACAAGTTGACACAACCAAGTTTAGCAAGTTCACGAGTGTTTAGTGCCTTATGTGTTGGAAGTGGAAGACTCTAGTTGAGCTGAGGTATTGTGTCTGGTTCATGGAGGCTTGCAATTCAAGCAAGGCATCTAGATCTATAAATTATTGCTTCTGTCTATACAAACTAAAACTCGGCAATTCAATGTTCTAACTGATTTCACTCAGCATCTTCCTTCCCAAGGTGCTCTCTCTCTCTCTCTCCCTCCCTCTTATATGCATATTTGTAATTGTGATTATACGATCTTAAATTGTATATATATCTAAAACACGGCAAAAAATTCACTACAAGAAAAATTCATTGTCACGGCTCTTAGAAAAAGACGTTTTTTGAAAAACGTCTTCATTTCTCGTTTTCCAAGATGCGTGCCTTCGCTGATGCTTAACCTTGCCAATTAATTAATGAGTTAAAAAAAGAAAAAGAAACAAACCTCTGCCACTCAAACCTAATAGAATATAACTTTTATTTCCAAACATCAGAGTCACAGATTCATTACCCTCTCCCCTCTCCCCTTTCTTTCTCCTTCTCCAACATTATTCTCTCTCTAAAATGGCACGAATGAAGCTCTCTTTGTAGATATTGACGAAGCAACTGATGATGAAGATTTCAAGTAAGCCTATTGTAGATCAAAACCTTAGATCTTTTATCTCAATTGTTTTTCATTATTTTTTTTTATTTTGAAATCTTGTTTTGTGCACTCGATTTGACTAATTTTTTTCGACATTATTCGATCTCTCTTCGCTATTGTTTGATCTCCCTTGATTTGACCAATTTTCTTCAAGATTGTTCGATCTCCCTTGATTTTCATTTATCTAGGGTTTCGTTCTACACGGCGTTGAAAAAATGCAGTGGATCTTTTTGAAAGGGCTTTTCAATCTGTACTCGCTGTGTTCACTCGAGATTTAGAGATTTTCATGACTGCACAGTAGCAATCTAGATCTGTTTTGATTTACATTCTATCAGTTTGATTTCATTCGATTGACTGAAACGGTTGCTTAGGATTTCGATTTCCATTGTTGATCTAGGTGCTCTTCCCTTTTATTGGTCTGACTCAAGCTTGTTTTGGATGATTTTGATTTCGATCTATGCTTTTGTTTTTCTTAGGTATCGAATCTATAGCTCTTTTATTTGTTTTAGTTCTCTCAGGTAGTCAGCTTCAATGGTTTTGATCTGTAACTGTATTTTATTTAAATAGTTTTATTGTTTGTTCTGCAAATAGGTAGCTTAGAAGATTTATATATTTTCTCTCACTCTCTGTGTTTCCTCTTTAAGGTTTTTTATTTGCTAAACGATGATTGAGCCTTTTGGGATGAAATATGTTTTAAAGTTGATATTAAATAAATTAAGTTATCATTTTCACCAAATAAGGGTCAAATGGAGGGGTTTTGGCCAAATTTCCCTTATAATTATATGTTTGTGTATGTGTAAGCAAAATAAAAGTAAAGAAGAACCTGTGTACAAATCTGAATGCTCATTTTTAAATACGCCCAGCCTGAAAAGGCCTCTACTCTACTTGTTTAGGCCCGTGGATATAAAGGATATGCATGTAAGTGTTGTGCTCTCATTTGATGGACTCGTTGCATTTTTTTTTTTTTTTTTTTTACATGTATGATGTATATTAGTGGGATGCATCTAATGGCTTTTCATTAATTCTACTTACAGGGTGGTTCCCAAATCTCATCTAACTTCTTACCTTATTCCCAATCTTGGAAGTGAGGGAGAATGAAGTAGTATCTTACCAGAGAGATTTAAAGAGCCTCAGAAAAATGGAGGTTAGTTAAAAATCACTTGGAACATTTAACATGTGCCGGTATTATTGCCAAGGCCAAACTGAGAAAACAATATTAGGGATTTGTTATTTTGTGTTTCTTAACTTTCTTGTTACATATTTCCTGTCTGGATAAATAATGCATGTAATCAAGATTTGGGAACTTCCTAAAAATGCTAGCTTTTTGACTTTTTAATTTTTTTACACAAAAAAGCCAAAAAGTTAGTTTTTTTTACTAACTTCTCATAGCACCACATAAATTTTTGCTTCATGGTACCATAACCACTGTTTTACAAATCTCTGTAACTCTTCTACTACAAGGGACCGTATCAATTCTTACAGATTTGTTTCACAGTACTAACTCTGCATCCAACTTCCAAGAAAAACGCTATTATTTATTTATTTTACTTTCTTTTTAACAATCATTTACTGTCTTGTGTTAATATTCAAGATTTTTTGAATGAGTTATCTTGACAATTTGCTCCATTGCATTTATGTTGAAAAATAATCAACTTACCATAACTTTCTAGCAACCTGGTTCAATATGTCACATTCTTTTACACTTCTAACAAATTGAAATAACTAAATATCATAATCTATATCAATGCTACTAACAAAAGATTCAATAAGAGAAAAGATATACTTTACGCTTAGACCTTTTTCATATATTTGTGAAAAATTTAATCCCTCAATCTAATTATATAAATGTTCTAATTTTAAACATTTATTGATTTAATTTTGAACTTCAACATTTTCTCACAATTAAACTTCCATTTTAAAATATATTAATACCAACATTAGTATTATTAATATGAAACATGTGCAACACTTCATCATTTACAGACTTTGAAAGTGTCACGATGGAATTGATCAAAAATACTTTTTGTTGTGTTTGGATCATGGATTGTGGAAGGGATTTGTGAAGGGAAAGGAAAAGTGAAGGGTTTCCTTTCGCAAATTTCTATCCGAATTCATGATTCAAACATAGCCTATAATAATCTATTAAGTGTAATACAATGGAGTATTGAATATGATTTTTTAAATATAACTAATACAAGATTCCAATATTTAACTCTTTAATTATTCTAATGGAGAAGATGTGAAGGGGAAGACCTAAGCTGACATAGGATGCGGTAGTTAAAAAAGATGTTAATTTATTTAATTTAACCGAGCATATAGCCCTTGGTAGAGTAGAATGGCAAAAAATGATTCATGTAGCTGACCTTATTTGATTGGGACACAAGGCTTAGTTTGATGTGATTTGCTATATGTAATCCATGTCACTCTTTGTGTACAAACACACCCAGATACATATACACGTGCCTATTGGGGTTCTTCATAAATTAGAACTCATTTTACTAGATTGTGTAGCTATTGAAACAATTCTATTCTATTTTTTACAGATGAAATGGATGTGGAAAAAAAAAATTGTTTAGAGAATAAGAAGGGGACAATTCAGCTTTTAGTTCATGTTAATTTCGTTAGGAGAAAATATTTAAAGTTTGAGGTTATTTTTCTTGCATTGTAAGTTCATTGATTTTTGAGCGTTCTTTAATGCGAAGAATGCTTAATTTAGGTGTCACATGATCTTTAGTGCCATTTGGAGTGCATCATACTTACCCGTCCCACTATTCTAAATCTAATCATAGCTTTGTTTCAGTTTCTCTGTGCCCTAACCTTGCCTGTTCGAAAACTAGTCGTCAACTACGTTGAGCAGAACCACAAGGTGAGTAGTAAGTAACATTTTGAGCTTCAATTGTACAGTAGAATTACAGATTGGATGGTTATGAACCCTAGTTGTTACTCTTTTTATAGCTAAATTGGATTAGTTCTCTATTGTGGTGTTGACACTTCATTCGTATAGGACAAAATGAAGATCTTTATGGCAAAGTATTACTGTGTGAGATTGCACACTTTATTCAGTGTTGCTTTGGCAGCTGGACTGGTAACAGCCAGAACCATCGCTGGAAAATATGTTGACATGACGGTTTTTCTCTGATTTTCCACTCCATAGATTTCAAAATCTGCCTGGTGAGCATACATTTTTGAATTCTTACTATTATGAGTATTCTGTGAAAACAATTTTGGCTATACATCAAACACACATGTGCAGGATTGACAGTACACTAAAAGTGAATTTTTCAGTAGTGTGCATACCACCTTAGCTAGGTTGTTACTTTTTTAGTGTTAATAACTAACAATTAATCATGGTGCTTAAAATTAATAAAAAGAGAGAGGACATAGTGATCATTCAAGCACACATTGGTCCTACTGCATTGCATTTAATATCAAAGGCTTATTCAAGAACCTAATTAAAGTCTTCATTTTGTTTTTAAAATTCTTGTCCCTCTATTCCCAACACAGTCTTAGGCACACACGTGATATGAATTGGGCCATTTTATTTTGGAAGTAGACTAATTTAAGTGAGAAGATGGCAGTTGTACATGCATTTGACTAAGAGTGAATTCTCTATAGTGCACATTCCGATGAAATAATGAAATTTCTTACTGTTTTTTCAATTGTGATGTCTAATATGTTATAGTAAGGTCTTAAATTTGAAGGAGTGGGTATTTTAAGATTATGGGTGTTGACCTGTAGGTAATATATCCTTACATATTTGCCACACTAGCATGAGCTTTGCTTTGACAAATATGACGATGATTTGACTCAGAAATTGTTTGAATTTTATTTTGTGTCAACATTAATTAGAGAATTGTGTCAAGATGCGAAGCTACTGCCTTGCAACGTCAATTTCAAGCTATGAAGTTACTGCCTTCCAATGCTAATGATTTCATTGTTATTAATCATTGATTATGTCTATCAAGAAAAAAACTTTAACCATGAGAATCTCTTGGTTGAGAATTTTTATTTTTAAAATTTTTCCTTGTGCTATTATATTGCACTGCTCAAATGCTTTAATCTTGTGATGATTTGATTATGAATCGGGAAATATATGATGCCCATTGAGTCCATACCTTTCCATGAAATCATCTGCTTTAAGAACGTCGACAAACTTCAAGCAGTAAGTATTTTTGTAATACTGAAACTAAGAAATAGAAATCAAATGGAAAATGCTCACTGACTACTTATTGTTGTTAAGATAGTGCAAAATTTTGGTAACTACACAAGTCATTTAAGAAGCTACATATGAGTTGATAGGTTCTATTGATTTCTATATTATATTTTGATATAAAGTGTAAGTAGTTTTATTGTAACGGTGATGGTGGTGGTGATGGTGGTGGTGTAACCAGACTGTCTTGTCTTCCTCTCCATATCTTTTTGTCCTTTGGGTTAATTTTTATTTCTTTATTTATTTTTTAACGGGGAAAATTTCATTGATAGTTTTATTGTAAGCAGGGGGAACTAAAGTTTGTTGGAAGCCTTCAACCTGCTTCGCAGTGCTGTAAAGAGTACATGATTGGTCTTGCATGTGTTGTATAGCATGCAGTTGATCTCCCCCCCCTCCGGCGCCCATTTTTTTATGCTAGACAAATTCATCCATCCAATTTAAATATCTTTATTTTTTTTTTTTTTTGAAAATTTTATCTTAAGAACTATTGATGATCCGTTACTAAACCTAAAATTGATTGGACTTCACAATTTGGTAGGGTTGCAATTTCGTGGTGGCAAATTCCGATCCTTTCATACCTATGTAAGGAACTTGTAAACAACCCTTTTCTTGGAGTTTAGTACAACATTGTAATTTAACATTTTTCTCTTTCTCGTAGAAGTCAAAAGACTCGTATGTCTTGTCATTTCTGGAAGTGGCTAAGGTATCTTCTTGTCCTTTGCTTATTTGTTCTGTATAGATGGAGTTTTCATATTTTACTTAATATTTTGCTACGAGCACTTGCTGTCGTGAATAAGGATAAATTTACTGCAACACAATGAATAGAGCAAGAAGCAAAAAAGTTACTCTTAATGTCAAAACAGAACTCATAGAGTAATGATTTCTTCTAGTGACAAACTTGATATGATTTGCAAATTGATTTTGTTTTTCTTTCTTTCTTTCTTGTAAATAATGCAATATAGATGGTACTTGCTATTTATAGATGGTGCTTGCTATTTTATTAATCTTTAATAAAATCTTTGCTTTGTAATCTTTTCTTTAAGTGGCCATTTAAGATGTGTGAGAACTACTGAGCAGAACAAAAGAAATCTGAATTCTGAATCTTATGTATGATGTTGCATTGCTTATTGAAACTCTAGGAAAATAAAATTCATGGACGCAAACTGAACTAGTTGGCTTTGTCTAATTACTCTTACCTCAACTTGAATTTTTATTCCTGAAACTAGCTTCTCTTTAGATAACACAACAGCACATCATGACTTTTAATTCTTAGTTTTAAATTTTTATCTTTGGGACATCACATCTTGCACCTGCAGTGGGCTTATCTATTCGTCAATCTTCAATTGCTCATGAAATTTCTGAACTTATTAAGAGACCTAAGCTTGAGGCAGGTATTTGTTATGACCCAGAAGATTATTACACTTGAGCATCTTGGTTATCTGGTAAGTAGTAGATTGTGTTGATTTCACCTTTCACATATAATTCTGATGTAACTTTTATTCCCTGCAACATTCCATTTTCTGAATCTAATCTGCGCAAGGCCTCTGAATCATTGAAAAGAGTTGCAGCAGCGGTTTTGGCGACTCATGACTGAATTGAAGAGTGCACATCAGATTTCATTTTATTTTTCCAATGATATTTTAGACATTTCTTTGATTGCATCAACAGAAAAACCCGGGAATTTTTGTTTCTTGGTAGATGCTTTCATAGTATTTGTATGTGTAATTCGTTTGAATTGCATCTTTTGTGCTGATTTGTTTTGTAATAACTTTCAACTTACAACTAGGCACTAGTTTAACTTTAGGCACTAGTTTAATTTTATTTCATCTTGGAATTGAAATATTTTTGAATATTGAAAAGCATGAATTGATCCGGTATTGTGTTACCTAAATTTAGTCAATATATTGAATATTTTTCATCTTTATTATAGTTTTTTTTTTTAGTTAAATCTCATAAAATTAGCACAATTTCAAAAAAATAAAAAAATAAAAAAAATGAAGCTATAGCGGCGTTTTTAAACGCCACTATAGAATAATGCTAACAGGTTACCAGTCGTATTTTTAAAATAAAAGAGATCTATCACGACGTTTTTAAAACGTCGCTAAATGTAGCATTATCATTATATAGCACAATTTAAAACGCCGCATATACTAATATAGCGACGCTTTTAAAGCATCACAAAGTTACAGCGACAGCCGCATCTTCGACGTTTCGTACAAAACGTCACAAAAACAACTAGCGGCGTTTTTGATAGATTTAGTGGCGTTTTTTAAACGCCACTAAAAGCCTAATTTCCAGCAGTGATTATGATTCATTTATTCATCATGAGAGAGACATGTACTATTATGTTTCTATTACTTAAGGGTAATATATAATTGTTTTAAAAATATATATTTAGGTTGAATAACTGACAAGTTTGAATATTGCCCTTGTATGTAGCAAATTACTAGATTCCTTTTTCATATGTTAGTGGAAATGTTTGACAACAGTGATTGATTTAGCATTTTTGTGTGCTTTTTGTTTGTTTTCCTATTTCTCTGTGGTGTCTTATTTTAAGGGGTAGTTTTTTGAGTATGGCTGCATGTTCTTAAAATTTCCATCTATTATGTTGCATATTCTTAAAATTTCCATCTATTCATGTTGTATATTCTTAAAATTTCCTTCCATTCATGCTTCAAAATAGTCTTGTCATATGTCTGCTGCTTTCATATACTCTTATGTTATTGATAGCTGTTTTGCAAATCATGGCACTAATAGCGTCTTGGTTGGCTGTAATGGGTTGGGGTGATTAGGATTTTATTTGTTAGGTGTGTTGTGTCACGGAATTGCCAGAGGGGAGATTGTTAGGTTTTTGTAATTGACAATCTTGTTTGACAAAACTCCTTTCAATTATAATTTTATTCACTCTTTTGTTTCAATGAGGATGTGAGTGTTTAGATGCGAATCAAATTCGAATTGTGCTTTTGTTTGCCATTTCGCTGACAATGTACGGAGATTGAGTTGTCCAGTCAGCTCCCGAGGGTTTAGGGGGTAATGCCCCATGGCGGGGTCAAGGGGCAGTGCCCTTGTAGACACCCCATTTTGACCGCCCCTAAGACTTGGGCGCTTTATTCCAAACACCCGATAATGAAAGTTACATTATGCAAATCGTTCGGATTCTTGGCAAAAGAAATTTGGATTCAAGCTCTAATCCCAAATCTTACAGCCCATTTTGGCCAAACTATTTTAGACCTTGAAACCCTCTTTTCAAAATATTTTTCCAAATATTTCTACAATGTTTTGAGGCTTGCATTTCGATTAAAATATTGCACTTTTTAGTAAAACGAGTACAGATAGAGTGGAAATAAATGGAAGAGAGGTGAAATCTTTGAAAAATATTTAAAAAAAATATTATTTATAGGCTTATAGTTGAAAGAAATAGGAGAGGGTGGAAGAAAACTAGTTTAGGAAAAGGTTGAGCATCAAACCGTTAAGAAAAAAATGAACAGCCTTCACTAAATTAAGCATATTTATTTGTACACTTAGAATTTAGATGTGAGGCCACCACCATTGGAAAGTAGACTGCTGGGGCTTCAATTTAGACTTAAGAATTACCCAAAACCGAGTCCCGATGAGGAAGATATGCCCATTTGAAATTGGGCTTGAAAGTAGTTTTTTTGACCCAGCCGAATTTGTTTAGATCCGGCCGTGGTTTGTTTAAACTCGGCCGAGTTTCAATGAAAATAGTCTGTAGTGCCTTTTAAGACCTAGCCTTTCATTTTTTGGGCCCGGCTGTGGGTTTTATGGCCCGGCTAGGTCTCATTAGCGATAAACAAGACAGTTGGCCGAAATTCGCCAGCTGTTGTTTTTTGAAGATATTTATGACCAATTTGTCTCAAACTCTATAAATAGGACTTCCCACTTCAAATTTTAGGGTTAGAAAAACCTTCCAAGAGGATTAGACATTGATGAG